TGTTCATAACTATTAAAACAGTGATATATTCTGTTTGAAGGAAATTGACAGCTATCTACCCACTGCCTTTTATTCCACTTCCCCAGAATGTCCTTTTCGAATGCACTTTTTTAGTACTGTCTTTTGACATGAATGGGTATTTGCATTGTCTTGTGCTTCTGCTTTTCTCCCTGAAACCACTGTTTCTGGCTAAACTGGTGGCTTCTGTGGTAACTGTAGATAAGCAAAGCATAAATTGCTTCAGATTGTCAAGGTAACCAAGTGCAGTCCTAACCCTCAGTTCTGATCTGTATTCTCAAGGTTTTCTGCTTTCAGGTTCTCGACTCTGTGAGGCACCTGTGGCTTAGAGAGCAGACAACGTGCATCCAGGCCCTCATCGAAGGATACCGAGGCCAGTAAAATTATCAAACTCATTACAAGCTGCAGATCAAAATTAATAATAATAATAATCTCTACTTGGTAGTACCCTTGCCTCCAAGTTAGTGGGTTCAAGCCCCATGTCAGGACTTGGAACTTATAGTATAAGCTGTGCAAATTGATTCCTGTGTTCACCTATAAGATGCAGTCAGTCACAACACTATAATATACTATGAAGCGCTTTGAGGCAATCTCCTGATGTGGAAGGCAAGAATATAAAATGCAAGAATTATTATTACTATATAACAATCAAAATAATCTTTTGGGCGCAGGATTAAAGATTTGCAGGGCTATGGGGTAAGAGCAGAGGAGGGGGACTAGTTGGTTGCTTTTTCAAAGAGCAGACGCAGGCTGGGTGAGCCGAATGGCTTTTTTCTGTTCTGCAAGATTCTATGATCATGTCAAATACATTTGATTTTCCTTCAGAAAAGTTATCAAAGCTAAGTCATTTAATTCATTTTATTTCTATTAACTTCCAGCCTCCACTTGCCTCTTAAAGTTATTTTCTCCAGTTGAATGTCAACAAGCCTGAAGCCCTCCTGCTTTGGCTCCAGTCAGCAGCTCCATACCTCGGGTGCTGACAGCATCACCCTTCATGGATGCACTCTACACGTCACAGAGCTAATACGAAACCTTAGTGTCCTGGTTGACCCTCAACTGTCCTTCATCACCCACATCCTCCCATGACCTGCTCTACCTTTCCCCACTTCCGCAATATTGCCCGTCTTCACCATCGTCTCTCCCCGCAGGCTGCCTAGACCCTCATCCATGTGTTTATCACATCCAGGCACGACTACGCAAACTCCCTGCTTGTTGGCCTCCCCAACTCCCCCCTCCACAGGCTGCAGATTATCCAGAACTCTGCAGCCTGTGACCTCTCTTCCACCAGGCTCCGCTTCCCTATCAACCCCATCCTCTCTGGCTTCTCATCACTCAGAGGATACAGTTCAAAATTCCGTTGCTCACGTTCAAAGAGCTCCATGGTCTTGCTCCTCACCTCTCGATCCCCTGCCTTACCCGCCCCACCTTCAGCCTGTCTGCCCCCACCTTCTGGAACTCCATCCCAGTCCCTCCACCTCACCCTACCCCCTTGCCTCCTTTAACCATGCCTTCGGTCACCCTCCTACCGCTACCCACCCTCCACCTCGCCTGATCCCAACCATCAGCTCGGGTGCAGATTCCTGACTCTCCAGCACCTTGGGACATCTTCCTGACGTGAAAGGCGCTATACAAGTGTAATTTGCTGGTTGTTGCTGTTAAAGTGGTAATTGGAATTGTGGGGCATTGGCTGCTGCAGTAAGTCATTACATTTTATAATAAATCCTGTGAAGCACTGAGATATTTTGACGATGTGAGAATGCGCTGTATCAAATGCAAGGATTATTATTATATTATTCTGTTGCCTCTGTGATATATAATAGGTTTATTCTTCAGTTTGGTGAAATCAGCAAGTTTTGTAGTAACCAAAATCAACCCAGATATCACTTTCCCTTTTGTCTTCTCTTTACTCACATTATTGGGTTTATTTTAAACCAGCTGCTAAAATAGCCACTGGGTGCTGTTTATAAAGGAGCCGAGATGATTGCTATTTTTAGCGATCAGAGTAAATTAATTCCCTAAGTGTCCCAAATCAGTCAATCTCAGTGCCTCAAATTAACTTTGAAATTTTCAGCATCTGATTTCTTTTGAAGATTGCAATAATTAACTGAAAGAAAAAAAGTTACCTCCGACATTTCACGTCATCATGTAATTTCACATTGCTGAATCTGCACAGTGGGAGCAGTAACCTGACTGCAATCCCAAATTTGGAGACTTTTTGATCAAACCTTATACTCTAGGCTGACATTCTAATGTAGTGACGGGGGTGTGCTGCATTGTTGGAAATGCCATCCTTCAGATAAGATGTTAACTCGAGATCCTGTCTGTCTATTCGGGTGGAAGCTAAAGACCCATTCACACTATTCAAACAGAGAAGGGAGTTTCTCCCTGGGTACTGGTTTATAATCCCCTAAAATAAAAAGGGTCATTCACTGACTGCATAGCTGTTTATGGGACACTGCTGAATACAAATTGGATGCTGCACTTGTCAACAAAAATACTAGTCACTACACATTACATTACAATAAAATCCTTTGAAGCTTTTTGGGTCTTTGAGAAACCCTGTGGAAGTGAAAAGTGCTATATCAAGTATCAGGATTATCATTCTAGGGCATCAATTCAAGTATGGCACTATAATGGCAGACATTTACCTTGTTTTTCCATTTCCGTTGGCGAACATCTTTTATGTTAGGAGACCAAGCAAGTGCTCGTTCTATAGCAGGGTTGAAACGCAGCATGTACAAAATATGCAACACTACCTGCCATAGCTGTGTAGTCCAGCAGTGGTTAAGCAGTGTGAATGGCGTACTGCAAAACATGTTTTGAAAGCGCATAACGCCACGAGTTCAAACCTGGAGCAGAGGGGGCATCTGAAACCATGGGGCACACAGTGGCAAAGCAATCACTGAAAATCCTAAAGGGTTAGTCTGAAGGCCTGCAATCCAACACGCCAAATAATCTACCCTGTGCCACCAAATATCATTACCCTCTGTGCTGTAATCTAAAAATTGGCTTTACACCTCCACGTACTGTCCTCCGTGGTTACAGTAATAAACAAATATAACCTGACAAATTATTACAGATTAGAATGGATTTGTGTAGAACCTGCTTTGCTGATGTCTTTGAACAATGGGAATTAATAGGCATATTGTCACTCTGATACCAGTCTGATGCTGTGACTCATACACCATGATCTGTATCAGATAGGCTTTTGAATACAACACAAGGAAGAAAGTTTTGCAAATGAGAATACATGAGTAAATAATAATTGTTATCTCAATAACTGCCTTGACTTAAAGTCATCAGTTTTATGCGTCTCCCGCGTTTCAGATTTTTACTTTGCATCTCTCTCCCTCTCGTGGGCAGTAAATAACCAGTGGTGTAAAATGAAAAGAGCCATTAATTTGCAGCATCTACAACGACATTGATGGATAAGCTCAACACATTAAGCTGCAATGAAATGTTGCTTCTTTGGAAGACAAAAACCTGGCCGAAACACCGGATTGCTCCCTATAAGAGGGGCTGGGTTGGTCGGACAAGAGGAAGAAAGTCTTTCCAAGCTAGCATAACTAGCGTGAGTAATTTGAAACCGGCACTGAAAAAAAATGTAAGCACACTCATGAGTACATGGCTGAATGGATAAAAATGCAACATAGTACAAGAGCCATTGTGAATAAGGCAGCGAGATGGAAGCAGCAAATATTGATTTATCCACCAACCGTATTTTGATTAGGACCCATTAAGTAGAAGCAAGATTCCCCGTGCTTGTCGCTTCTCATGCATGAGGAGAGATTAGGAGGTATCATCGCTGAGGGCAGAATGAAGAGCCCAGCACCCAGGAAAGACGAGAAAGAAAAAGAGCAGAAGAGAGATTTAGATTCCCTATTAGTAAGCGGCAACAGGATTGATCACTGTGACGATCATGGCAAGATGTTTATTATTGTTCCAGTCAGATTGTCCAGGCAAAAAAAGACATTAGACTGCAAAGACAGCAGTTGCAGAACCAATGAATCAACATACAGCAAAAAGGGCACCAAGAAAGTTCTGCCAGGAAATTCACTCCATTTTTTTTATCACAATACAACAGGTGAAAATGGCATGTAAACAATGACTCATTTAGATATTTACAAACTCTACATTTAAATTCATGGAAGGTCATGTATAGTATTAAAAGTAATTACAGAACTTGTTACAAAAATATATACCCTTACAGATAAATGAGACTCATTGTTTTGATGGAGAGAGTGAGCGAGAGAATAAAATCCCATTCATTTTGATTCAAAAGAAATGTTAGTAGAATAAGCTGTCCACATTTAGCGCAGGTTTCTTTAAAAAAAAGTCCCGATTCTTTCCAGCAAGCAGCTCATCATTAAACATATTGCAAAGAGGACTTGAGTTGTTTTTGTTTTCAGCATAGCCAAAGCAACTCATTAACAGATGGTGTTCCGCAGAATGGATCTGGTGCATAAGGATTGTGGAGTGTTGACGCTAATCTCTACTTACGCAAACTTTGCACAGGAAACCCAGATTCTCCAGTGCTAATTGGTAGCAAGCAACTTCAAATGTCCACAAAATGATTATATCTTAGGCTTCAAATTGTTTTGCAAACACAAAGATGCGATGATTTCAATTAATCTAAGTGCGCCTGTGCATGTTTTGGCTCAGGGTTAATTTTCTTTACTTGTGTGACTAAGCAACATATAATGTTATTGCTTTTATACTCAGCGTTAGAAGGACCAACATTTTAATACAGTAAAGCATAGTGTCTGCATTAGTTGTACCACTCAGTTATATCCTTATACCGCAGTTCCATTCCACAGCAAAAGCAAGAAATGTATAGAATTTTCGGTACAAGCGGCTTAGCATAACCAAAAGCTATACAAAAGCTGAAGATAATTGCCCCAGATTTTAACGGGTGGGGGGAGGGAATAACATTCATGGCGTGACAGTATGGGAAAAAGGAACGTTTTCATAGGGCAACCCACCATATTCTGGCACATAACCATTTCCACGTTTCAGAAATAGGCAGACCCTTCGACCACCATTTTTAATTAGTTCTATAGCACGAGCATGCTTCATGTTCTTGGTGCTTTCTCCATTGATCTCCAGAATTTCATCGCCAACCTGCGAATGGAACACAGATAAATGAGTTTGAGATTACACAAACAGTAATAATAATAATCCTTACATTTGATACAGTGCCTTATCACATCTTTGAGACGTCTCAAAGCGCTTCACAGAACATACGGTGAAGTGAACTGAGTGTATATTTTGCAGGTGAAACGGAGCAGCCAATTGCGCACAGCAGTGTCCCACAAACACTTGTGGATTGAGTGACCAAATTCTTCATATTTTATCATTGTTTTTATTTTGAGGGGATTATTACGCCAAAAAGCGATCCACAAATCGACTAACAACCGCAAATCCTACTTGCTGCTAGGTAAACAGAAGTGTGAGGAGTAAGGAAACTTGTCCAACATTTCACTCTGACTGGGAATCGAACCCAGGTCCTCTCGCTTGCGAGGCGAGTGCTCCAACTACCAAGCTACAGGACTCCAGTAGCACAGATTATATAATAATAATCCTTGCATTTGATATATCAGGTCTTTGAGACATCTAAAGTGCTTCACAGAATATACTGTAAAGTGAATTGACTGTATATTTTGTGGGTGAAAAAGAATAATAATTCTTGTATTTGACATAGCGTGTTGTCGTAAGATCTCAAAGCATTTACCGTGAAGCGTGGTGACTGAGTATTTGTGGGCCAATGCGCCAGCCAATTAATGCACAGCCAACCATAAATAATAATAATTTAATTTAATAAGTGAAGAATCAATCTCAAGCTAAGTTTTCTTACTGGGGGGGGGGCAGAATTATAACAAGTTTGTAAATGATAACAAAGCTACAATGAGTTCCAAAGACAATCATTTATAGAAACACACAGCCAACATTTTATATCGCCAATCAAAGTACAGATTCTGCATAGAACTACAGTGAATGTGTAATTGGGTATGTTTTTTTGTCTTTTGAAATATTTGCTCTGAAACAACACATGCTTCATTAAATGAGATGACATGTAAGTGTATTAAATCTGCATGCAATTATTAAGCCACATCACCAGCTGGAAAACCTACAGGGGGATAATTGGAATGATCTGTGTCTGTCTGCATAACTGTCACATGAACTCTGAGAAAAATATAATCACAGCTTGATGAAGCTTGTAATTTTATTAGATGCCAAAAAATTACAGAGTGAAACAAAGTTGATCATTTCAAGACAGCGTGAAAGTGAGTCAGCAATGCTAAATCAGATTAAGTCAGAGCCCTTGTGTTGCTGCAAGCAGTACTCGAACGTTCAGTCCAATTTTATGCTCACTAGAAACACAACAGTGATTATTGAACCCTGCGAAGATTGCAGTGTGTTTGCACCAAAGCAAAACACAAGCTCACCAATTTGGCTCAGAAAATATCATGAGATGAAGAAGACTGCTCTGGTCTGCCTATTTCCCCACTCTTTTCAATCTTTAGATCGAAGAGACTTCAGTTTTGAAGTTATGAGATCTAAGTTACCACATGCAAATTTTGAAAAACATTTGAATTGTAAAGCTTCAAAAAGCGATTTTCTCTTAATTAAATCAATGATATGTGAAAGCGTGATCACAGTTTTATTCCCCCCAGGATCACTGAAAACACTTTCAATCCCTGGTGCTAAATGATAAAAATTAAGAGACCTGTGCAGAGCTCAAGATGAGAATATTCTAAGTAGAACTAATGAAACAAACAAATAACAGCACCACAATTTGTCACTCACCTTCATTTTCCCATTTCTTATCGCTGGGCCATCCTCAGCTAATCGAAGTACATACAGATCCATGTTGTATTCACGGCCACCACGGAGACTGAAGCCAAATCCTTTCGCTCCTTTATCCAACTCGACCGTATACAGTTCTGGCTCCTTTAAGACATGAGGGACAATGAATGTGGTAAATTCACAAGTCCTGCTGCATGTTAAGATCACATACAAAAAAAAATTCAAGCCAAAAACCTGCAAGTGGAAAGAAATGCTCGCAGGAATCCCTAAATAGAAAGTGTTGAAAGCAAAAGCTCTGGAAATCATTCAGGAAACTGTCAAAATCTCATAGAATACAACACAATACAAATTGACATTTATATACCACCTTTTATATCAGGAGGAGGTCCCAAGGTGCTTAATAGTCATGGCTTGGCACTCGAGCTGAGGGAGGAGGGAATTTATAGAGAAACGGCAATTTACATGTTTTGAAATTTGCACCAAGCAACAGAGCTTCAGCACAACATTAATTTGCAGTGTATTAATACCTCTGTATTGTTTGTAAACCATTAATTTTACACAAATGATACCGTGTTTTGGGTGTTTAGCATGTTGTGTAGGGAGTTACATTAACATTCACACTTATTATGTCCTTAATTTATTTAGACATGAATCAGCTGTGCAGCTTTTTTCTTTTTTTCATGATGTTCTCTCCCCTGGCGTATGGTCTCGGGTCTCCAGCCCTCTTGTTATCATGTGGTTCCATGGGCACGAGTTGCTCTGTTTCCCCACCCAAGTGTTCAGCCTCGACATTGAGTGTCGGCAGGTTATTCGGGAAATATGTCATCTCTCTGCAGTCGGCTGCTACCAAGAGGGACAAGGTGCAGAGATTGCGGCCGTTTTCTCTCTCCCTAACCATGGGATTGGCCGGGGACAATTTAGCCTCCCCACGCAGTCCCAGCTGAGACCAACAAGGGCCTGGATTCAAACCAGCGAGCTCCTGGACCCCAAGCCGCAGCTCTATCCACTACCCTATCAGGACTGCCCCTATCCTTGTAGCTCGAGAGTCTGACTGTCTCATCTGTGCTGCTTGTAATCCCAACTGTTGGAGAGATAGAGGTCAGAATGAGAGATCAACCACATCCAGTGTCTTTCCTATAAGAGGTGCTCTGCTTCCAATGACGATGACATAGTTTGATTTGGAGGACCCAATCTGAGTGATAGTTAGTGCTATTAAACAAAGAATGTTAAAACTGTCAGGTACAGCTCCAAAACTATTTCAATAATTTCCTTTAATCTCTCTGCCAAACAAGACGAACACAGGGCTCAAACACAGCAACTTCTATTGAGATTCCTTAGTAACAAAATAAGGAAGTACATCAAAGCGATCCGTGAGAACTCCATTCCAACACGATCCCCGTTCGGAGATTTCCAGGGCAGCAGGAAATACTTCCAATCAGTAGAAGCAATTCCCCTCTCGGTTACTTTGTTAAATAATCCGTGCAAGAAAGTACTACAAATTAGATATAATTATTTGAGATTCTTGCGACTAAAGCAGAAAGTTGCGGTTTACTATTTTTCTCTCATTTCAATACAAGAAGGATACCTTCTCCATGCCCTCCCCACTCCCTGTTCAGCCCCTGTCCCTCCAAGGAGCTATATAAATGCAAATTAATGTTGTTTTGTGTAGGGGGGAATGACATCTTGCACACTGCTTAGTGTGGCTACTTGGCTTGTCGTGCTCCGCCACTGTCCAGCGCCCTGAGACGCTGCCCTACGTGAGTGGCGCTGTACAAATGCAAACTGTTGTTAATAGATGCACACTGAAAAAAATCTTTTTTTTTAAAAACAGCGTGTGTGGGGCGGAGTCATTTAGAAGATTTATAAAAGGATTTGGAAATATGTAATGCTGAGCCTACGCAGAGGTGTCACACGGCCAGCCACAACTCTGGCCAGATGTCATTCTCCCACTCTTTGAATTGGTCACAAACTGGTATCACGAAATGGGAAATAAGATTGGTGAGTAGGTAGGAGCTCTGCCGGGTCTCTATGACACACATTCGGGTGCGTACAGCATCTGATATTTATAAATCCCCGTATATTAATCTTCTCTTGTTAAAATTGCTGCCATCTCTGCCTGGAGCAATTTCCCACCCGCTATTTCTGGTCAATTTCTGAGTCACGCTTTGGGAGATTTAAGAATCTGCATGTCTGACATTCGGCATTCAGATTGGGAAGCGAGGCACTGGGTGACCTAACGTGAGCAAGGGGCAAGGAGGGTGGGGTGGGGGAGAGAAAGATAACGTTTAAAATTCCAGCTCATCTAATGCCGCTTAAAAGGAAACGTCGAGCCGACTTCTAAATTCATTGTGAAAATCAATCCGTTCAAAGTGCTGGAAATGCTCCTGGTGATTTCTCATTTCAATGAACCAGCATCGTTCATCGTATCGAGCCCGTTAATACAACTTCCTCTGCTCCAGCGAGGCCCAGTTCTCGATCACGCTAGCAGCTTTCAGCAGATAAAGAAAATAATTTTATTAAACCCTTTACCTATCAGATCCTGCAATTCAATACCATAATGACAGTAAGTAGGTCGCAATTCTTTTTTTAATTTGATGGAACCCTTCTGGAGACATCAAGCTATATGCATGGTTGACCACTTAATCTCCCTTCTGCCATATGCAGAGCATAGGATAAGAAGTTAACGTTTGCTAAGAGAGGCCCAGTCCATTCACCACATTTGGCGACAGAAACTAGAACAACCTTCTCTGTGAAAGAAATTTTGTTGATTGTGACCCGAATGCTGCATTTGAACATCTTTGTAAAGTAATACAATGCTACACACATTGTCTAATCTGGGCATCCTAACTACAGAAATAATTAAAATTACCAGGGGTTTGGATACAGCAGATAGACAGGAATTATTTCTACTTATCAGTGATTTAGTGACTAGAGGGCATTAATTTAAAATATTTAGCAAGTGGGCATCGGGGGAAATCAGGAGAATTATATCTTTCACATGCAGAGAGTTGTGAAAATGTGGATTGCGTTGCCGAATGTGATGGTTGAGGCAGGATCATATTAGTTTTCAGGAGGGAACTCGATAGATATCTGAAGAGAAGTAAACTGCATGGGTATGGGGAAAAGGCAGATAAATGGTATTGAACAGCCTGCTATTCAAAGCACTGACACAATAGGCTGAACAGCCTTCTAATGTGCTGTAGCTATCTATAGTTCTATTATATGTTGAAACAAAGACCAATAAGACCAATACTAAAACATTTTCTCTCAGGGCCTCTGGACTGCAGAAACCCCTCCCTCCCTCTTCCCTTTTAACTTATAACCAAATGCTCTTATTCTGTCACCCTTCACCTGGGTTCCCAACAACCAAAGTCACAAGTGGTTTCATCTAACTTGTCATGGTGCAGCACAGTTCAGGTTGCACCTGAGAGTGAATTCCCAATTTCAGCCACAAAGGAAAGGCAGTTAAAATGGAACAAAAACGGAGAGCTGGGAAAACTCAGCAGGTCAGGCACAATTATGGAGAAAGGAAAATGACTCAACGTTTTGGGTCCACGACCCTTCATCAGAACTGGTGCTTGTTGGGAGGGAGAGGTTTTAAGGACAAGTTGAGAGGGGGAGATAAGCTGGCATTGTTTTGAGTTTTACTCAAACAATGCCATTGACTGACAACTCCAGGGGGGGAAAAAATACACAGAATGCACCAGAAGCATCCATTATTGATGCATAACCCGCATAAACAACTTCAATCCTTGTCATGCAGGCCAGAGGGAGGATACGTGTGGTATGAAAAGATCAGCAATACGTCCTGCTATTGGTATCCTCAGTGGTTTAGTGATCTGCAAGGTGTGGTAGTTAATTTTAGGAAAGGTACAGTGTCATACAGTTATTACTCTCCATTAAGACTTAATAGATGTAAGTGAACCAGTCAACCTTGTGAAAACTGATTTGCTCTGGGTTCACTGAAGTCATTCCCCATTATCTTATGAAAACTCAGGCAGAACCATGTAGAAAAAAATTGCAGTTCCCAATTTCTCAATTAAAGCGTTACCACTGGAGCGCACAGTCCATGACAATCTTTATCTTTTTCCCAGCAAAACTGCTGGCATCATTTCTGTGACATTCAACAAATTTTGAATAGTAAATTGATACACTGCCATCCTGCAGTCAAAACCAAAGTCATTTGCATTTAATACACTCATGTTAAGCATTTCAATTGTGGTAATAGTGCACTAACATACTATTAGCTTAATGCCTTTATGGTTGCAGGTTCAAATCCTTCTTAAGGTCACATAAGGACTAATAATAATAATAATAATCCTTGCATTTGATATAGCGCTTCACAGAACACACGGTAAAGTGAATTGACTATCTTTGTGGGCGAACTCGGCAGCCAACTGCACACAGCAATGTCCCACAAACAGTCGTAGATTGAAAATGACCAATTTATTATTGTTTTTTGGTCTTTGGAGGGATTATTATTAGGCTCTGTGTGGAGTAAGGAAACTTGCCCAAGGTTTCGCCCTCTGCCTGGAATTGAACTCAGGTCTCTCACTCGCAAAGCGAGTGCTCTAACCACTGAGCTACAGGACTCCACACTAAAGTCACACAGTACTTAGTAGCTTTAACCAACTGCTCTGTGAGAAAGACCAACTGGTCGGTCAGTCTTAACTCCTTGCCTTCAGGATCTATTTGCAGGAAGTAGACAACTTTCTTCAGCTAGATTATCTGAAAATGAGCACTCGCAAGTGTGGGGAAATGTGGGGTATTATTTGTTCGGTAAATTGGGTGTCTTGACACAAGCGGAAACTCATAATCACACTTAAGGGTATCCAAACCAGACAGAGTTCCACATACATATGCCATCTATTTATATATACAGAATAATATATACATCCAGATGCACATCTTGTGTTTATGATCACAGAGCTGAAGGAAATGCCAATGTCTCTTCCTTCTTGTAAGGGACTATTTCAACAATTATTCACCAAGGTTTGCCTCTCACGGCTATGTCCAAATCTTACCTGAGCTGGCTTATAATCAAATGGTTGCTCTGATTTTGGTTTTGTGTTATTCCTTTGAAGAAAATGAAAAATACAAATCAGTTTCCATCTTCACCATTTTGAACAATTTCTCAATTTTATTTGAACATTAACTTTCTAAAATCAAACTAAATGTTTTTGCATTTACGCAATGCAATGACACCTCTTCCTCCCTCCATCCCTCCCCTCCCTCTAGTTTTATGCACTCATCTTGTGAATTCAGTGACTCATGCCGGGGTTAGGTTCTGGTTTGCTTCAAAAGTGTACGATTGCTACCTCACTTAAGTGGCCACACGTGCACAATGAGAGCTGCAGTCAAGCACACCCAATCTGTCCATAATAATAATGTCCAGGAACAGAAGCCCTCTATTCCTTAAAGTTCATAGGCAGAATTGCAATTGCATAGAACTTTGAGACTGGGTTTGAATTGATAGCAGCCCTGATGCACTGCAATGTAGAGCAGAAACATTCAGCGTTCCCCATTCACATTGCTTGAATGTTTCTCAATTGCTGTGAGATTGACTGTACTGCCCCGAGCGCAGTATACTGCAGAAAGATCTCCTACCGTCCTTCTTGTGGTGTCTGCTGAGGAGTGTGAGTTGTTGTGATGGTAGCAATCTTCTCTGCGTTGGTTAGCAAGGATGGATTGGACGATTCTACACAAGAAAAATAAAACCCTAAATGAGATGATTTTTTTAACAAAAAATGACAATTTCCAAATAAATGACATTTGAAAATAAGTTATTAAAAGCAATGCCATCATTAATCGCATGATGCACTACATTTGAATCTCCAATTAGACTAGGGTAGCGTTTTATATGGAAATATTAATTGAAGCTAGGTGTGGCATAGTGTCTTTATAATATAGAAATTCTGTTCACAGAAACGGCTTATTATGTCATATATACACAATGTTAAGTCATCTGAGAAACATCTCAAAGGTATTTCCCAATTACATTCTAAGCAGGCACCATTGTGGCGGACCACCACAAAGTAAAGACACAGCAAAAAGCAAAAGCGTGATTAATCACCAAAGAAAGAAAATCAATCAGGAACACGTGATCAGACCGCTGAGTGTTAGTCTTTGTTTCTCACAATAAAATTAATCTGTAAGAGAGAGAGAGAAACCTCTTAACTCACCATCACCTGGAATGATGCGCAAGGTTACGGTGTTGCCCGCCTCTTTGATCAAGTTTACAATATCCGAGTGAGACTTGTTGGTGATGGAGCATCCGTTAACTGCCAAAATACGGTCTCCTACTTTAAGCTGGCCGCAGCGATCTGCGGGACTTCCTTCGATTATCCGACCTATTTTGTGAGGCATGGCTACACATGCATTGCCTGGTTTTGTACAAGTTTTTATTGGGAAGGTGGTAAAGGTGAACCATTAGGAAAGGAGGAGGACAGGGAGACAGAAGGTCAGGGGTTAATTCACTGTGCCACCAAGCAAAATTAATGATGGAATGTACAACATCCCATGGTTGACGATCAAAACATTGGCAACCAGCGTCAATACTTAATGCAGTTTGCAGTGATAAATATGCACTTGTCACTGTTTTTAAAAAAAAGTAAAAATGCTTTCACTCAAAATCTGGTGTAAACACATTTTAAGAGGTTTGCTTCCTTCTTTGAATATAAAATAACTTGATTGTTTTGCATGTACATGATAAAACTATCAGTGGAAGGGGGTAGAGGTTCTGTATGCTTGCCTGGTGAGCAGAAGTCCACTGAAGAGTACTCTCTGTCTTAACACGCAGACACTTGGATGAAATCTATCACCAATGTAGCTACCTTTGAGGAAAATCAAGCGTGATCCTAACGTTTTCTCTTATAGTCTGGGACATTTAGCTTACCACATGTTCAGCATGTGTTCCAACATAAAGATTTTAAGCATGGGCAAGTACTGATAAAATTGAATGTATGTGTAAAACCTTTGGAGATTTAAGCCTTAACCAGGAGTCCTGCCAAGGATGCTACATTCACTTTAAACAGTGGACATTCGCAATCAGTGCTCTCATCCAGAATGAACTCACACAGTGTTGTGCAAAAAACGACAACATTCACTGCATGCGAATAAACAAAAGCAACTTTGTGGGTTAGGTTCTGCAGAACCTCCAAAAGTTAAACTTAGGATCTCGGGGAGGATAGATTCCTTTCGAGGTTTCAGGGTTGTCTAAACTCCTAATGCAAACCCGGCATCACAGCCTCTGACACTTTGCTCCAGTATTGATCACATTGATGTTACACCGTGGGTGTGGATTTCATGTGTTTGACTTCATTAGTTTTTTTTNGCCAATGTTCTGTTCTTTCTCATTGCAGAAAGGAAAGCAAACTTGAAACCCAGTGAGACTAGTTTTAACCAAGACGTTAGTTTCTAAGCTAAAGCTTCGATACTCAGAAAGTACTGCCACCATTAAAAACCATGAGCTACAGAGAGCGACAGCAGCTCAACTGTGTGGATTCTTATGCGACCTCAGACATTAAAAAAAGAAATTAAAAAGCCAAGCTTGAATCAGCTAAGGTCATTCATTGACAAGAAAGCACACTCACTCACGTCACCCAAAGAACTGCCCAGATATGATGAGCCATACAAGTAGCAAAGACAAACTTAGCAAAGCAGAAAGCAGATTTCTCATGCAGGGTTTTAGGAAAGTCCAATGACCATAATAAAACCACACACAATTAAAATACTCTACATGTTGTATATATTGCTCTGACAAATACAGTTAAGTGTTCCTTGTCAAACTACAATTTACTAAAATCTAGGTTTCTCAGTTCCTGCTTAAAAATAAATATTCGCATTTTCATACAGAAGTCATTGTGCTAAATGTATACCGATAAATAATTTCTGCCTCAAAAATATATGTGTGACTTGTTTAGCAGCTACATCTGCAGTATTTAAATGTTGCACTGGAAGAGGTTTATCCTTCATATAATGTTTGGAATAAATGTGATTTTCAGCAGTCTTAGCACATCAGTCTGTTCCATTATCTGAATGTTAATTGTTTTACCCCAAAAACTCACCAAAGGTCGTTCCTGCTTCTGGCCGACTGACTGAAGAGACAATGACAAAGCCAAACCCTTCGTTCTCTCCGCGACGGATCTCCACATCGTATGGCTGCATGTTGACGCTGGCGGCGTTACCGCTCGCCACAGCCCCAGCGCTGCCGCTGCTTGAGCTCACTGTGTTCAGGGAGTTCTGGCTGCCTTGTGGGGTGTGCTTCTCTTCGGTCAGGGAGGGGGCTTGGGTGCTGCTGTGGTGAGAAGAGGCTGGAGAACCTGGGACTTCGTTATCAGCTTTCACCACAGCTGCTGGGTGGAGAGGATTTTAAAAAAAGTCATTATTGCAAACCACCGTGTCGGTCAAGAAAGAGGAAAGAATGACTTTGAACAAGAATAATATTTGATGGTCTGAGCTTCACTGTTCAAATTTTTTTATGTTAAAGTGCATCTCAGCTGGAGCGCTGTCAGCATTTCAAGTTGAAAATATGTCACACTTGAACACAGTACATTCTGGTAGTAAGACTTCACTTTGCACTCTTCTCTACCAGTGGTAGCACTAATCCATTCCTGATCCATTAATAGTGCTTATTTTCTCTGTATGAGAGCTGCTCACTAATTATAGGAGAGCCAATTTTGACGAAAAAGTGGAAATGTGTTTCCTTTCCTCTGGAAGTTGCAGTGCACTTGTTTATGTGAAAGCACTTCAATCCACCATACAGGTTACAAAGAAGTGTTGAAGTCTTTTCTGAACAATTTGGTAACTACTGAAATTACTGAAAAGCAACGAATTGGCCACTTCAATTATTTCCATGGATTTCATAACTACATTGTTTTCTAACCCATTTGGGGGCCACCTGGGAGAGGGGAATATTTTTTCCAGAGTTGCACAATTATTTTAAAGTGTCATCTTGTAATAACGTATGCCTCGAGAGGATTCATTCACCGCTTGGAGCGGAGCAGATTTTGACGCAATCCCAACAATTTTGTTGGTTTACAATGTGTTAACCAATAACTGAAAGGTGCACTCGTTCTCAGAGAAAATTACGGGATTGGATGTGACCCATCACGTCCTTCCATAAAAAAGGATAATAAGCAGCAAGCAGCATCGGAGCAATATTCTGGAAACACTACAGAAAGGGTGAATACAATGCATGCTTTTTTGGGGGTGGGGGAAACAGTACTGATTTCAGCCTCTCAATTGACTTTTAAATTTCTTACAAATGTTATTCTGTGAGATGGTTGCAACTTGATTCCCCCTACCCGAGAGATTTCACTGGGTGGGAGCGATTTAAATAGGAAGCTGGCAACCTTCTATGCTATGCTCTCCCCCCCACCACTCTCAAGAACAAGCCGAACATATTGATTTTGGAGCTCAGTTTGAGATCAATCGTTGCACTGTGTTAACTCAGGCTGCATATAACCTCGGACTTTGGCCATCTCCTAATGAATGCTGCAGAATGAGTCACTGAGTGAATCATCTAAACGATGCAATTCAATTCATGTATTGAGTTGAAGGTGAGTCTGTTGCACAGACATCAATGGTTTCATTCGTTTCAGGATGTGTGCATGCTGTCTGTACAGCACACATAGCAACACTAATAATAATAATCCTTACATTTGATATGTCTTTCATGTCAGGAAGCATCTCAAAGCACCCCACAGAATTTACTGTGAAGTGTAATGATTGCGTATTTTGTAGGCGAATGCAACAGTTAACTTGCCCAAAGCATGTCCCTCAAATAGCCATGAAGTGAATGACCAATTTTATCTGGGATATTATTAGCCAGGACACAGGGAGAAACTCCTTCTCTTTTCTAATAGCACCAGGGGATCTCTAATGACTGATTGAACAGACAGATGGGACTTCAGTTTAACGTCTCATCTGAAGAATGGCACCTCCAACATTGCAGCACATCCCAAGCACTGCTGTATCTTAGACTATAAACCCAAGAGTCCTGGCGTGGGGCCTGACTCAGGCGAGTGTTACTGACTGAGCCAGTATGACACACAAGCTAGGCTTACCTTCAAGGAAAAAGATTCTGAAAAGCGTACAAATTGTGCAAAATATGCAACAAGAGACAAACTTTCAAGCACCTGCATTTTCTAGTTTCATTATCAGCTTGGATTGCTGCCTGGAGCCTCTAAGGTGACAGCAAATTGACAGAACCTCCAGAAAAGTGCACTTTGTTCAATTAGTGGACTTTCAGAAGCTTCTGCTCCTGAGTTTTGCTATATCATGCACTAATGAGACAATTGGGCACTTACTGTATAGCACGTTTACCAGCAACCTGGCTCATTATGCACTCGTACTGATGTAAAGACTTTAAATACTGTATAACAATGTAGGAAAAATAACACACTGCTGCAGTTTTATTAGCACCTAGAATATTAACTAAGAGAATAAAGAAGTCCCAATTCTGTGAATTTCTTGCTGCGTTACAGAAAAATGGACAGAAGCCGAGAAACACAAGCTTGCAGAAGACCCTGCTGAGAGATGCAGGTGAAGTAGAAACAGATCATAATTGGTAACCAGCTATATCCAGCACAAGAACCAATTTATCAAGTAAAATAGCATTTGTTCACAAACTGATTTGTGTTTGGATTGATCTCATTGTAATTTGACTTAAACCTCGATCTCAGTTCCAAATTTAAAGAAGCCAGATTCTGACTGAAGGTGGCCCCTGGCAGAAAAAGGAACTGCTGAGTGGAGTTAAGAGTGTGGGCTTGAGAGCAGTATTGGCTCCTGCTTTCACTAATTGGTGGGGGCTCATCGTGATAATCAAATGAAACAGATTGGTCACCACAGCTCGAGACATTTATCTGAAGTATTTACCATTTGCTGCTGACCCTGAGGTGCGCAATTGATTGCCATGTATCACCAACAAAACACCCAGTCAATCCGCTTTGCAGTTTGACTGTGAAGCGCTTTGAGACGTCTCAACGACATGATAAGGCGCTAATCAAATGCCAGGACGATAACGATTATTATTTGGTAAACCTCGGATATTACTGCTCACACTTTGTAATCTAAACATCAACATTGTTGCTATAAGACTCAACGGGTTATGCTCGGCTCACATACCTGGATAAACCCCTTTGCGCCTGACAGTCAGGTTGACGTGGCCCTGTTTGGCAGCTTGCTGCATCAACTGAACCACCAGCTGGTGGGACTTTCCAACCACGGATGTGCCATCCACGCAGATTAGCTCATCACCCGAGCGTAAGCGGCCATCAGCGTCCGCGGCCCCCAAGGGCACGATGTGGCCGATGTAGATCTGTCCAAAAGGAAACAGAAGCATCGATGAGGGCAAAGTGAAGAGGCTGCATTCAACAGCCGTGAGGGAATGCTCCGTTACCAAAGCCTGCATTATTTCACAGCGAAACACAAGATTTCTACAGAAAAGATGAGAGGTAAGAGAGGAACAATCCTAGTGTCGTTTTAACAGGTTACATGTGCTCCCGACTTGCAAGGTGCTATATAAAGGTAAGTTGTTGTTGTCGCAGGCTGTGGATTTATGGCCCGGGAAATGACTGACTGTGTGTGGAAGGTTGAATGGGTACTTATATTAACAGGAAAGGAAAAAAAACAAAGGACCTCACTTAGCAACTTGATGGTGATTCTTTCAAAGTTTCAAATAACAAGCATTGTGTAATAAAATCAAAATAACCATGGTTCATTCTAGGAGCCCTGCCTGATATTATTAATCCTACCAACTGGCGTCGATACTTCACGCCACCTCCCAATTTCCCCCCTTCCTAACTCAGGCTCCCAGTCAAAGTCTGAAGTGCTTTGAGATGTTCTCCCATAGTGAAAGGCGCTATATAAGCGCAGATTGTTCTTGTGTTCTCGCTCCCTCCCTCGAGGGGCGTATTGCTTGTCTTTTTGATGATGGTGAAGCAGTATTTTAATGCCCTCCATCACCATTGAACCACAGCAAGCCCTTATCTTGCTGTCACTGAGGCGCAACAGATATTTCAAACAAGACATTTCATGCCGGAAACCGACTTGCATTACTTACTGGCTCCCCCGGCTCATTCCCACCGAGAATCCTAAATCCAAAACCAGTCTCTTTTCTCCACAGGAAAATATCCTGCTCCTGGTAATCGGGAACTGTGGGAAAAGCGTACAGATGTCACAACAACATACATGTGGAACAACATAATGAAGGTCAATGGCTTTTCCGGAATGGCCTAGACAGTGGCAGTATTTCCTCTGCTGCTGGGTCTCGCTGACAGTTTTACGAGCCTTAGAATGTTTCAGCAGGTGACACGGTCAAATTATAGGGCTCCATTGCTCAAATTGGTGCCACCATCCCCAATCGATTTTCGGTCTGACTCGCAGGCCGACGGTTCCCGTTTTCCAATTTACTGTGATAAAGTTAATCATGAATCACAGAAATGACTTTGACACAGCTGAGTGGGTCTGAATTCAATGAGCAGTTTTGGTAATAAATCTGTTGCACCTTTGCGTGTGGCACCTCTCCCCTTTCCAGCTGGTAGCAAAAAGAAACATAGCAGCACCACTTCTCTGACAATGCAAACACATGACTGGCCAGTGTGTTTGCGTGAGAGGGGAAGAGAGGAAATTATAAATTGCTCGGATAAAATGTTTTCAAACAATTTCTGACAAACGATAGAACGCATAAGCGATTAGTTTAATATTAGCGGAGAGATTAACACTCTATATACTCGGCTCTTCCTACTGCCCGTTGAAATGGATTTTCAGCAGCTGAAGGTTAAAAGAAATGAGTGACAACTGATCGAGACACTGATCATTAATGTCTGGTGAATGCCTGAATTTCTATAAAGGCCATTATTCTGTAATGCTCAAAAAATTGCATGAGCCAGCCTCTTTTAGAGTTGAATAAAGGCCAGCTTCAATCAGCTGTCAGTTCACCCCCACTTCAGCAAACGCACCGGGAATATTGAGTAACTCATATTAGCAGCTGTTATACATCTTGTTTATGTTTAAACTATGCCAGAGATTGTTGTTGCTACACAACTCACCTCACCCTCAATATCAGTCACAATAAACCTCTCAAGAGGAACGTAAAGGCAAAGAATGTGAGTAAAGGGAGTCATTAAAGTAGAAGTAAAAATATTGAAAATGTATTCAATAACATAAATTACCCTTAGATGATACCCTTTGGACTTGAAAAGAGACATCTCATAAGGGACCTTATGGAAGTGTAAAAGATGCTAAATGGGATTGAGCAAGTGACCCTGGAACTGGTCACAGATATACCAATGCCGCAAAACAAAAGGGTACAGGTTCATGGCTGTGGAGGGCCATTTAAGCACAGACATCATGAAGTATGTCTTTCCACAGGAGGTAATCAACGCCTGGAACTGGTTACCAGGAAGTGTAATTGAGGCCAGGACTCTGAACTCATTCAAGAAACAACTTGATGCTGGAAAAGGAAGATGGATTGATGAGATCAAATGGACCAAATGGACCTCCTCCACCCAAATCTCTTTTGTAATCAAAAGAGAATTAAACCAAACAGACCAAGAAGTTTTCTGATCTGTGTGATCTCAGCTAAGGAAGTAGGGGGAAGACTATTACATATGTATATACTGTATATTTTTTTAAAATCAGCCAGGGCTCTCACTCCTGATTTCTATTCATTTCTGCTGAAAACTATGTGTTTGATTCTCATACACAGCCGTGATACCCTCTATAAACAGCTTGTTTACATTCACTGTTGAAGGAAATGTAAGAATAAGCACTTGTGACATATTAAATGAGTTCTTTCACCCCGGTGGGTGGTGGTGGGGTGGGAGCAGCAGGGGTTGGTGGGAAAAGGAAAAAAAATATAGAAAAACAGGTAGGTGAAAATTTTCAAACAAAATACTGCTAGATACTGTTGAACTGTGTATTGGTCTTTTGGAAACTCGTATGCTTTTTACCCCGAGTGTGTAATTATTGCAGTTTATTTCTGCAGTGCATTGTTAGAGGCTGTAGCTCCTTTGTGCTTAGACACTGTGCTGCTGACCTTGCCTCAGAAACTCTGTAGAGCAGCCACAGAACACAAATTGGCAATCGACCACATTCTACAGGGAATTAATACACTGCAAGAAAAAACATGGGAGTCCTGGCTTCCCTTCCCAGTACACAGTCCCTCATCCCCTCCCAGGACCATTGAAATAGTCAAGATTTAAAACAAAAAAAGGAAAATGCTGAAAACAATGAGAGTTTTGAAAATTGCACAATGAGATGTCAAAAAGCAAGGCACAAAACTGTAGAAAATCAATTAAACAGCACATTTTTTTAAAAAAAATGGAAAAAACAAGGACAGGATTAAGAAAGGAGCAAGACAGACATACAAAAAAAAGAGAAATTCATTGTAAAGAGAAACACGAATCAAAACTTTTTTTAAAAAAAAACAGTAAGTCCAAATACATTACACGTTAACATTTCACAGCGATATAACGTTCCAAGGTGCTTAACAATCCTGGCTTAATCTACAAATAAATAATAACTTATGCAAGAATATATTGATTTGAGTTTGGATTTTCTGTTTGAAATTTACTTTGCTCAGCATTCAAAGAGTTGGGCTGTACCTTCATATCCCAGGATTATTAATCTTATTTATGCCCATCCTTAGATAGCCTTAAATGGCTTCTTGATCTCTGCTCTGTCCTATTGTTTGGCGATTGGCAATTCCCATCAGGTAAATCACTGTTCTTGTGAATTTCTGCTCGTGAAATGATTGATCCTTGTGGTGAATTTACTGAAATTACCAATCGCGTCCCCCAGATCAAAATCAATTGCAATACTTCCTGGATGGTAACTGGAGCCATTAACAATACCAAAATCCAATTGCATTTATTGTGGGACAAGGAATTAAAAGCCATTGATTTCCAATTACGAATTCTCCATCAGCAACGCTGTGACGATTAAAACTCAATTAGTTTAAGGGAGTAGCCACTGACAAATTAGTCTCCTGGATGGAAACGAGCTGTAGGATTCTGTTCACAATTTAAATATCGACAAGCTGTTTTTCAGTTTGTCTCAGGCAAATGGGACGAAGACACCACAGAACTCATCAATTGAGAGTTATGTACAGTGCACTCTGGGTGCCACATTGAGTTGTATGCACAGAGCAACAAAACATGCCATTCAGCCTGTCTAGTCCATGCTGGTGTTTATACTCCATATGAACCTCCATACTCCTAAGCTCCCATACCCCTGTATTCCCTCATACATGCATCCAATTTATGAATCAATACTTAAATGAATGAATACTTCCTGATTTGTCCACAGCGTCTGGCATTGAGTTCCACGTTCCTCTCATGCTGCTGCCAGTTGTGTCTCTCTGTGTCTGTGAGTGTGTTCCTCTGACTGTGAGTGTGTGTATCTCTTTCTCTGTGTATGTGAACTTTAATGTATGTGCGATGGTGGGCCCAAAAAGGCAGGAGTGGCCTCCTGGAGCCCCTCAGTCAGAAATAATTCACCCCCCCCCCACCCCACAACCCAGGTTTGTTAAAGAAAGGATCCATAATTTTTTTACATCTAATATTGTAAGTGTTATTTCTTCATGTTTAGTTTGTATCAACAAAGTGAAAATATGTAGATTGCCAGTAAAATGTAACTCTCCATATTCCCAATCGACTCCCTGCAATTTTCCACAAAATTTATCAAACACCCTCCACAAATTTCCACTCAATTTTTGAAAATTTTTCCGCAATTTTCTGTTGGCCCTGCACATCACTCAGAGCAGATGTTTGTGACCCGACTGATTTGGACACCTTATAAAGCCATTTTGCAGGTCTGTGACATAGCTCAGATTCAGCCATGTGGAGTCCTGTAGCTCTGTGGTTAGAGCACTCGCCTTGTAAGCGAGACACCTGCGTTCAATTCCAGGCAGGGCGAAACCTTGGGCAAGTTTCCTTACTCCACACACCTAATAATAATCCCTCCAAAATAAAAAAAATAATAAATTGGTCATTTTCAATCCACGACTGTTTGTGGGACACTGCTGTGTGCAATTGGCTGCTGCATTTTGCCCACAAATATACAGTCAATTCACTTTACAGTCTATTCTGTGAAGCACTTTGAGATGTTGAGATGTGAAAAACGCTATATCAAATGCAAGGATTATTATTATTATTATCATATTATCATGACCCAACTGTGCAGCGCCTTGGGACGTCCTCCTGACGTGGAAGGCGCTTTATAAATGGAATCTTGTTGTTGTTGTTGTTGTTGAAGGGAGTGGGGAAATAAACTAGACCCACACAAGCAAAGCAAATTAATTCAAAATATTAGTGCTTGCCATTCAAATAAAATTCATTCCGTCCACTAGTTTCGGAACCTTGCAACACATTGCATTTCAACCCTCAGTAATATAACTTCATTCACAGGAACATGCAAATAATCCCCATCCATCCCCACCTGTCCATTTATAACACTCAGCGTAGGCCAGACAGTTTGACAAGCGAAAGGAAAAGGCTAGTGAGTGCTCAGTACGAATGTTAAGTCTGCAAATCTTCAGGCACTAACCAGTTGCGAATGATTCTGTTCCACATTTCACTGTTTTTTTTCACTGTAGTATATAACAGGATGGTACATAAAGCCTCAACTGTTTAACATTGCCAGGACAACAGTGCTGTGAACAGTCAGTAAGACACAAGGACCGAAGGGCAGTTATATGTTCAACAGTGTGACAGCCAAGAAGCAGCTGCCACTCATGTTGCCACTCCTCTTCGGTCAATAACATAACAATTCTAAAAGTTATCATGAAAATGTATTAAGAACACAAAATAGGTCCTCGCTGGAGCGCTGAGAGATGCTTTCTGCATGTTTTAGTGATGGCTTTTGACAACATTAACAATGTGACATTTTGGTAATGTCAGTGAACTCAATGAATCCGGTATAAATTAATCCTAAATTGCAGAGAGTATAAACACAAACCCTACAAAGGTCAAGCTTGTACTTTGTTTACCCACTACAATGGTATTTCTGTGTCCCCACTCTCTCCCTCTCCCCCCCCCAACCCTCACGCCTCACTCCAAAAAACATTAATCAGGAGGAAGAGGTGCACTTTTTGCCAGTTACATGGGAGATCACACTTGGTAACACTTACGCCGGCTTTCATACATGCTCCTCGACTGGGCCCAGATTTTAAAGGGATCTGGCTTCCTCTGCCCAGAGTTATCCACTTGTTCCAGTGCAGGCGCTTCGCTGGCAGGGTAGTCGGGGGGCCCAGGGGCACCCAGGACTGGAGAAGCAGTGTGCGTGCTGCGATGGCTGGCCACACTATGCTGGGAGCTGTTTTGGCTGTCTTTCCTTTCCAGTGCCTGCTGCAATTATGTGAGAGAACAGGGGTCACTCCAGTTTTCCAGTTTGTCATCGGGCGTCAGTAGATCCAATACAAAGCTCCCATTTTTTGTGCATGCATTTGTTGTGGGGTTGGGTTGGGGGGCGGGGGGGGGAGAGAGGGGGATGAAAGTTATTTCTATTTTACATTCAAGCTCAATTTATTTCTTGCGGCTTGTCATTTTGCCTCAGCTCGTCACAGTAAATGATGCCATCACATTGGATGGATGGGGAGAAAGGCAGTAGAAGGCATTTTCGACGCTAACTTTGCGTTCATGCTTCAAAAGGTTACGGAGCAAAGTGATGCATTTCAGCTGAACAGTTAGTGAAATAAAGCATTTAGTGGGATTGTGTTTTTATAGGAGAGCGAGAGAGAGACAGAAAAATTGATCCAAAAAAATCACGAAAATGCCCTGCAAGTGAACATATTCCTTGCACATAGATGTATTTCACCAAAGGGTAAATAATACTTGAGACTGACAAAGCAGCACATGCAGGCTGACATTTCTCTGATTTGATAGTGAGGGCAACCACGCTTCCCCTTCATAGACCTAATAAAATCTGACAGCGGACTGGGCCTGGAGTTACTTTAATGTGACTTTAATCAGCATTGCCTTGGAGCCAAGAGAAGTGCATTAATTATCTATTTTAGGAATTTCTTCGTGCTCGATTGGGGGGGTACGTACACGGAGGCTTGGGATGTGAGAACGGGAGATTTCTTTTGCGTCAATCTCAGTTTCCAAAGCCCAACCTGCTGTGCAGTCCGAACAGCAGTTTTAGGCATCTCATGAGCAAGTTGGACATACAGATAGGCACAGACACAGGCAGACAACACAAAGAGATAGACAGACACACAAGCACACACGGGTAATTCAGTAATAAGAAATCAACATTGAGACCCTAGTAAATGGGAGCAGGAAATAAGGAAACATACAGCTAACAGCACACACAATGAAACAGAGTCCTTTTCAAAACTTACCGACTTTGGGCTTTTCTTGGGAGGTAGTCCTATGTAGCACCAAAACAAAAAGACACCCTGAGAATTACAGGAATAAAGTACAGAAAACGCTCCAAATGCATCACTCTGACACAATGAATCTGTGGACCTGAGATTCTCAAGTTCCGTGTGAGCTGCTGTGGCCTAAGTCTGTTCAGATTGTCTTACAGGACTGTGAAATGTGGCTGCATCAGTTCTGCTGACTTGTGAATCAGCAGCCTCCAGCAGCCCAATCAAGCCTACGTGGCCTGAGACGGTGAATTCTGCAACAAAAAAATGCCCCAATGCTCGGACAAGATGTAGGCACGTTATAGAAATAAGAAATGGTCATGTGGCACTGGAAAGTCAGAATTCAGATTTATCAGGCACAGCCTAAAACCATTTCTGATTCACAAACTGGTTACATATAAATACACCTGAAATGTGTATTTATCCCTTCAGTGGATTTATATTGTAGAATAAAACTAAAGTGGAAAAAGGTTCCGTGGACAGAAGTTCACTCTATTTGACTACTTTGGTCACACAGATTTACAGTAAATCCTGTAATGTGCTCTGGACACAAAGCACTAACATTGATCCTACATTGTAGCTCAGTAGTTAGAGCACTCGCCTTGCAAGTGAGAGATATGAGTTCGATTCCCAGCAGGACAAAACAATGGGCAAGTTTCCTTATTCCACATGCCTAATAATAATCCCTCAAGAAAAAAAAATAATGAATTGGTCACTTCAATCCATGACTGTTTGTGGGACACTGCTGTGCACAATTGGCTGCCGTGTTTCGTCCACAAATATACAGTGAATTCACTTTACAGTATATTCTGCGAAGCGCTTTGAGACATCTAGAAGACGTGAAAAGCGCTACATCAAATGCAAGGATTATTATTATTACTACTACTACGCTGGTCTTTACACACTTCTGCCCTTCCTTTTGTGCTACTTCTCATTTCCAGCAGAACGAGACGCTCACAACACTGTACTTACTGGGAGGAGCATTTGAGGCTGGGACACTGGACTCATTTTTATGTAAAAAGAAATAGCACGATGCAATGATGGATGGACGGTAGGGTGGGTATTGATGAGATCAAATGGTCCAGAGGGCTTTCTTCATCAAAACCTCTCTTTGAAAGCATTCCCTTTTCCAACTAAAGAAATTCTAACTACTACAAATTCAGAAAAATCACTTGTGTTCTGCAAGATGAATCAGTTCATAATCCAGCTGGATACATCCCTCCACCTCAAAATCCTATTTTAGGATATTATCCAAAAAAAACATAAGATCCTGGAATCCATGATTTGAAAACCATCTGAAAAGCTCTGACCTCATCCTCAAAATCTCTCGGAGATTGTACGATTGCTACGATCAACTGCACTAACCCATTAACTCACGTCAGCATGATATACTTCATAATATATCTGTGCTATTAAATAATGATGGGCACAGCTGGGAGCCTGAGTTAAAATATTACTTAGTTGTAGCAATCGGACAATCCTGTGCCCCTTAATTCATCTCTGCTCCTGAGTGCTGTCCACTCTCATGTGACAAATTAAAGGAGGGAGTAATTCAACAACAATCATAACTTGCATTTATATAGCGCCCTTCACTTAAGAAAACATCTCCGATACCTGTACGGTGGCTGTTAGCAAAAGTAGTTAAATTGTCTTTCCCTCCATCCAACCAAATAACCAACACCCACCCATCCACCAGTTACGGTCGTCATTCTCTTCTTAGTTGAAGTTCTCAGTCCTTGGCACTTGAGTTCGGCAACTCAAAAGCCCAAGTTGACTTCGCTGCCAACTTTCTCTACCCTTTTCAGAGTCTCCTGCTATTTTAACATCCGCTGCCTGAGTTTTAAGAACCAAAGGAGAAGACTTGCATTTTCTTTTAGATTTTTTTCCAAAAATGAAGCAAACTTAATCCTTCCTCAAACAACGTGACATCCAACCACTGCTCATTTTTATAATATTGAACCTTAAAACACATTCAACTTTTAACTGCTTCAACAACCCTGTGTAATCCTTTATTTTTTCACCTTGGATATCAGCGAAATGACGAGTTGCCCACCCTGAACTGTACAAACCATCACCAGTCACTATCCATCTGTTATTATTTCTCAAGTGCAGCAGGAAAGCACAGCATTGCTTTGCTATTCTGTGGCTGCACCTATCCCAGTACTGAGCTAATTAGCTGCAAGTTCTCAGAGTGCAGAGCACCCCAGGACAAATCAGAAATATGCCAGGCCCAGCAGATAAAGCATTAAACTATTTAAGGTAAAAATTATCACATGCACAGGATCCATTTGACAAACGGCAACACAGATAGATTCAATGTTATGGCAGTGTGAGAGGTGTGGTCTCCAGCAGAGCTGTCCATCTGCCAGTCTCAGCACTAAATCCACTGATACAAAGCGCAGAGAGACTCTGCTGAGCCAAATCTCTCTATTTTACTGCTTACATTTGTTAATTCACTGACAACCTACTTTCTTTCCTCCCCATTCCCAAAGATGACAACATGGATGTTTGTAGGACACTGCTGTGAGCAAATTGGCTATCCTGTGAAACGTTTTGCAATATCCTCCTGAGCCAAACAATTTGGAAAATAGGATGATTTGGGCCTAGGTCCAGGTCCATAAACCCTCACCATAACCTCCACAGACCCTCAGATAATTGGCCTCTTTGAATACTGAATGATTCAGCAACCAGAAGCAACAACAACAAATTACACTGAATAGTCCCTTTCACGTCAGGAGGACATCCCAAGGTGCTGGACAGTCGAGGATCTGGAGGCAGTGGCATCACGTACAAAAAGGTTCACACTGCTTCCCTTGAACAGACGTCAGCGCCCAGCAGAGGACCAACTACTTTCTATCAGTGCTCCAAAGTCACTGAAAACACTTCCCGGAGCTGTGTTACCATCTATATCAGGGCCTCAAGCATCAGTCATTCGACTGTGAACAGTTCGACACTTTCACCTCAGTGTCTGCTGAGGAGGGAATATGTGAAGGACCCACGGTCTATTCAGTCTCAATGCCTCGCAATCCTCCATCCTCCTGCATTTCATGATGCAGTACAGTAAAATACTGACTACAATATTCAGCCTTTGGAGTTCACCGCTGGCCTTCAGGCTCATAGAAGTAACCTTGAGACTTGCAGTCAGTTCCAACACAGTCATTTCCGGACCTTCAGGGTCATTGATGTGTTACTATAGCCTTCGACTGCAATCAGTGTTCCTGAAATCTAAAATCTTCTCTATAATGCTGCTTCACAGAATCATAAAGAAACTAGGATCATGCTATCCATCCCATGAAAGTTTTTTATTTTTATTACAGAGGTGTTCATTATCATGGGGGTTGGGGGGGCTGTTATATCGGTTTCTCATATAATAGGTGGGGTGTCATTCTGGCTTAGTTGGCAGCAATCTTGTCTCTGGGTCAGACGGTTGTGGGTTCAGGCCCCATAACAGGATTTTGAGCTCATAGTTTGTTCTGACATTGTAATACATTACTGGGGCAGCACTGCATCAACACCGAGACTGTCTTTTGGATGAGATGTTAAGTCAAGGTCTCCTCTGCCTGTTCAGATGAATGTTAAAGATACCATGGTGCTATTCAACAAGAGAAGCAAGTTTCTCCTGGCGCTCTGACAACAAAAAATTAAATTTGTATAGCGCTTTTCATGTCGGGAGGACGTTCCAAAGTGCTGGACAGTCAGGGATATGCAAGCGAGCAGGGGGATTGGGATGGTGGGGGGCGGGGCTGAGGGCAGGAAGGGTAGGGGTACGCGGGTGACCGAAGGCGTGGTTGAAGGAGGGTCTTGATACTTTCCTTGAAGGAGGCAAAGGAGTAAGCAAAGTGAACAGACTGTGGGATGGAGTTCCAAAGGGTAGGGGCAGAGAGGCTGAAGGCCTGACCTCCGATGGTGGAGCGGGCCGGGCGGGGGACGTGGAACAGGCTGCAGCCTGCTGAGCAGATAGGTTGATATGGCGTAAGTAGGTCACAGAGGTAGAAAGGAGCAAGGCTGTGGAGGGCTTTGAAGGCAAGGACGAGAATTTTGACCTCTATCCTTTCGGGGATGGGGAGCCAGGCGAGGGTGATAGTGTAATGGAGACTGGTACAGGAAGGAACACGAACTGCAGAATCCTAAATGATCTGCAGCTTGTGGAGGCAAGAGTTGGGAAGGACAACAAGCAGGGAGTTGGCGTATTCGAGCCTAAATGTAATAAATGCATGGATTAGGGTCTCAGTAGCAGGCGATCTTGCAGAGGTGGGGACGGCAGAGCGGGTCATGGCACAGATGTGGGGTATAAAGGACAGTTAAGGGTCAAACAAGACCAACAATCCCCAGATAATAGTGATCATTCAGTTCATGATTGTTTGTGGGACATTTTTGTACATAAACTGGTTGCCAGGTTTGACCTCAATATACAGCCACGATACTTCACAGTAAATCCTGTTCAGCGCTTTGAGATATTTTGACATTTGTGATAAGGCAATATATTAAATACACTAGAAATAGATATTAGGCATGTACATGGTAATACAGAGAATTCTCAAAATACCTCTATTTCAATCTTATTTTAGCCTCTTAAGACCAATTTGTCTGGTTTTCTACAGAGCTTAAAATGAACTGGCTTACAAACCAAATTCAGGCTGAATTCAGAATTTATGAATTCCCCGCAATCTTAAATGAAAACAAAATGGCCTGGCTGCTGATGGGTTATCTGACCCGCCCTTGAAAGAGGTAATAATTAAGGTTGTATTTAAGAATTTACCAAATTGTGGAAGCTCTGAAATGCTGCACAGAGTAAATCTGGATCAGGTGAAATTTACTGAAACATCTTACGCATTATAACTTTAAAGGCACTCATTAACTCAAATTCTTCCTGGACAGTTTTGAACGTTCCAAATTGATTACAACAACAACAAGATTACATTTGTGTAGCACCTTTCACGTCGGGAGGATGTTCCAAGGCGCTGGGCAGTGTACAGCATTTCAGATCCGAGCTGGGGACAGG